ATCCATGTCTTCAGGAGAAAGCAGCTCAAGAGTTTCCACCCAACCCTTGCTCCTTTCTGTTCTAACCTGACACGCTTTAGCTTATCAACCCTCGGTTGTGTAGCTACAACTGCTTGTGGAGTTATGCCACAGAAATGATTCCATTTAAAGACAGCCTTCTGAGATAAGACACAACTGACCAGCAGTGTTCAGACCTGTGGTCTGTCGAACACAGGGCTAAATAAGATAGAAGCCTTCCCTTCACCTTCACTTCAAAGCCAAAAGAAACACTTTAGGTAAGACAAGTTCATTTGAATTATTTTATTTATCTGTGATGAGGAGGGTGGGAACTTTAGCTGATACTGCCAGCAAAGAAAACATAACATGTAAGTAGATCTAAAAGCAGCAGTAGGGATTGAATTTAGATCTCTTCCCTTCTCTTTCAGCATCTAAACCCAAGGATCATTCTTTCCTTGAGTATTATGTGCTGACTTTTGCCTTTGGCACAATGGTTTCCCTGTGACTTTCTTCTCTATTATCCAATGTGTTTTCCTTGACTCTGACATTTGGAACCTGATGAAAGAGCAGAAGAACTTGAGTGCTGACAGCAAAAAACTGATTCAGACAGGTGAGAATGCCCTCAAGCTTGTGCTAAAGCCAAGAGAACACTTCTTGAGCCCTGAAGGAGCTATCAAGGAGTCATACTACAGCATTCCTATGCGTGCAGTCTGCATCAGTGATGAGTAGCAAGAGCAGTTGAGAACTAGCATCCTTGTCAGGGAACAGCAAGAGCAGGGCTATTCTACAAAGGAAGGCAAGCCAGGAGCTGAGGTTGACCACAGCTCTGTCAGTCACCTCACAGATCAGGGTGCAGCCCTACAGCATCTAAGCAGGGGAACACAGCACAGCCTGCAGCAGATTCCACTGAAAGTCCACTCACCATCAGAAAAAGGCCAGGTAATGATTCACAACTGAAGTCAATGTAGGAAAGCTAATCAACAATTCAGGAACCAGGACTAAGCATAGGTACACCTACAGCATAGGTCAGAGAAGGCCTAGAATGCCTAGGTCTGAGCCTAAATGAAGCTCCTGGGTGAATGACAATGTTTGCATGGATGGAGATCTCAGGTGAGGCTGGTAAGAGCAATTGAAGCTATCAGTGCACTCAGGACCCTGAGAGCAGCTTCCCTTCCCATCAAGGTGTGTCCCACACTTAACAAAAGTCTGGACTTTTTGACAATCCTCCTCTTAGATACCACATCATGCAAAATCAGAAAGGTATCTAAAAGGTATCTTTCCTACATGCACTTGTACTCACATTTTGCTTGCATGTGCATAATTGAATGTGTGGATTCAGCAAGTACTCAAAGCTCCAGACCTGTCATCTGTGCCATTTTTGGCCTCTTAAATGAGTCACAAAATATTGGTGCTTATTCTGATAATAATAACATATTCAGAGCTTGTTCTGCTCTGAATATAGCAGAGCTAGACAGTCTAGATGGATGATCTTTGTGCCAAAGGGAGAAAGACAGACTTTCATTTTTACCCTCCCTAATTTTACTGCAGTATTCAGTACTGTTGCCATGCTATTATTTCATTTCAAAGAGGTGGCTGGGTACCAATGTGGTCTGTTACAAGGGAGGGGTATACCCAGCGAGTCATACTGGAAAACTGCATGTCCATTTCTTGATCCCTTAAATGCAGGTACTCATACCTATTTTCAACAGCTGTATGCAGCCTTCAGGTGTGCTGGTCAGATGCCATAGATTCAAGATCATACTGCTGATGAGGTGCAACTCCTTCTGTTCCTCATTGAATGCAATGGTACGAAGACTACCAGAGTGCCTCCATGTTAGATTTGCTCACGTGTGGAAGACAGCTAGCTGAAATCAAACTCTAAAGAGATTACTTTCCTATGCTTGTTACCATATTGAGGAGAGATCTGCAGCCTAATGCAGTCTCCTTGTAGAAAACACTTCCGTGGTGTCAGTCACTCTACATCTGTTTCAGAGTGATGCTGATATCCTCAGTAATACCTAAGTTCTCATACAGTAGCCTGTTTTACTTTCTTTCCAAGATAGACTCCAAATGATGACTTGGCCTCAGCTATTCATCCTTCATATTTCACTTCAGCTACAGAAATGCAGTACACCTGGGTATAAAGCTGCTTGTGCTTAGGAAATGCCAGCTGATGAAGAATAGTAGCATGTTGTCTCTGCTACCAGAAGCTTGTCAAATTTGTCCTCTGTTGTCTGCACTGGTTTCCTGTGCTGTGCCAAATCATCTCTGAGGAAGTGGCTCTTTATCTTCAAGGTAAACCATTGTCTGAGCCTGAGTTATTTAAAAGATTGACAACAGTTCTGGAATGAAGATTCTTTAGTCATCAGTTACAAAGGGAGTTACTGTATTACAGTTACAGCTTCTCTAGACAGGAGATGGAGCTTTTTCATGGCCTAGAACCAAAGAGCTCAATGATCTTCTCTCCACAGACCTCTTCTGCTACATTGCAAAACATGCTTCCTTCATTGCTTGTTTTAAGGTAAACACATAGCAACATTTGTGTACTTTTATACGTAAGTATATGAAGAACAGAACACTGCTGCACCTGCATCTCTCCCAGGCGAAGAGAGAGGTAAATGGGTGGCAGGTGATAGCTGTGTTGCTGGCAGCACTACTGTCAGGATGCTCAGATTCTGGTGCATCAAGCAGGGTATAAAAATCCACATAAGACAGAAAGGAAGGCATGATATAGCTCAGAATAAAGACTATATGTCTGTTATTGATAATCTAGCAGGAGGCATAAGACAACATATTTGATGTGAACATGACCTTGAACTGAGAAGCATAATAGTGCCACTAAGGAAATGAGAAAAGATGAGGACCTAGGAATGTGAAACGGCTTCCTTCTGCGAAGTACCTACAGGAAGAGCCTTGAGGTGCTCTTTACATACTGTAAAACATAGTTTGTCCCCCTACAAGCCCATGTTCATAACTGCACTGGTCTATTTCTATTGGTGTCTCTGCCCCTCGCACTTGCTTCTGACATACCACTTTCCAGTTGTGTTAGGGCTGTAGAGACAGCCCTGCTGGAGACAGCGTTTGAAGTTGGCACCGTTAACTTTTTGTTGCATTTCCACTGACATCTAAAAGGTGGCAGGTGGAGGACTTTCTGTAGGATCTCCAGCATCACAGATTAACGTGCTGTGGAGAATGGAGACTTCTGCTACATGACCAGTGAGCTCAAACAAGCGCCTTACTCCCTGTGGTAGAAGCTGCAGCAATGTATTGACAGTCGTGGGCTTGGGAGCTTAGCTGCGAGTTTGTTATTTACATTAACAGCCTTGGTGCCAGTGGGTCGCATTCATCCTGGCTTGCTGGCTTACACAGCTTAGGGTGGCTACTGCCTGTGCCTCTTACAGCACAAGAGGCATTAAACTGTTGGCCTCTCAGGAAAGGCAGCTAGTGGAAGGAGAGAGACAATTGCTGGCCCACCAGCTTTGGAGCAAACTCCAGCTCCTGGAGGGTGAGGACAAAGGCTGCCCATGGGCTTGATCCAGGGGTGTCCCGAGGGATCCTACGCATCCTGGGGTGTGTCAGCTGCACACGGAGCAGCGGAGCCCTTGGGGGAGTCCCAGGGATCCTGTGTGTCCTGGGGTGCATCGGCCGCGCATGGAGCAGCAGGGCCCTTTGGGCGCGGGTGAGGGGAAGCAGACTCTAAGCAGAAGTCTCCGAAAGGGGATACAGAGCACGACGCCCGCAGCCCCCCACTTAGGGCTCGGCCTGGCTGGCGCCAGCAGGGCGCTGCGCGGGCGAGGGGCCT